TATACACACGTGTGTATTTATTTCTCTCTCTCTACGCACACGTGTGTGTGTGTGTATATGAGACACACACCCACACACGAGTGTGCATGTGCATGTACATCCCATTTTTTGACCCAGGTATACACAGAAGACAAAATAAAAATCATACTCCAGCAGCAAGCAGGCAGGCAGAGATTTATCTACATTCACTGCTATCACCAGGGAGATGAATGGGGCCGATCTGAAGCCCTTTACAAGATCCACTATGGGAGTGAAGGAGGAGGAGGGATGCCACACAGACATGCACAAACTTGAAGACGGCGAGATTTGGAAGGTGCTACTTGTGAAGCCGGGTGGCACACTGGAGGGGTGAGAAGGAGAAAATCCAGACACACACTTGGTGGGGTTTGGGGTTTTGGAAACGGGTTTCAGGGACAGCTGGCTACTTACGTTCGCTGCGCTGCCGTGGATCCTGAAAGGTGTTCTGTTGGCACCGGGCGCTGAGCCAGGGATGGGCGCTGGAATCGAAAGGGAGAGACAAAAATAAAGTCATACAATGGGAGTATTGATTGCCTCTCTTGCGGATTTTACAAAACATACAAACTGTTTTCTTTTCCTTTTTTTTTAAAAAAAAAATGTGGATTGGCGCGCGTCCCTTTTGAATGGAAAATACTAGCACGGGATTTACAGCCCAGCTACAGGGCTCAGGATTAACAGCGCTGGCATCTTTTGGGCATATTTTTCCTTTTAATGAATGAGCTTTCGCTGTTAATGAGGAATAATCGTTTGGCTAATGAGCTTTGAAACATTAAGAGAAAAGAGGTTTTTTCCCGTTAATCGCCCTGGTGCGACCGCATGGGTGGATTACAAAAGACAGCACTAGGAATGCAGTACAAAGGGGGAACGTCTCCTGGAGTGGGATAAACGCAGAGATGGGTGATGCGTTCCTGCATCTCTCCTTCCTTCGCTTTCTCTCTGCCAACTGCTATGGGTTTCCATAACTCCGCAATCAAACTGGATGTTCAGGAAAGATTATTACAGTCAAACAGTGAAGCGTCGGCTGTTAATGTCTCCAGTGTTTAATCATCATACAGTAGAATGGTTTTATGCATATTTCATTTGCATATCATTAAACCGCGTTAGCGTGGGACATTCAGAGCCAGGAGAGGTACAAAGTTGTGGGGGGAGAGAGAGAAAGGTCCCTCTGATGCCTATCTTCAAAAGCCAGGGACTCGTTCCATGAGCTGTCTTCACTTTTACTAAAATCATGATGACTGGGAAACCTTTGATGTTGGATATAACCTTGGATTCTTCTAATTCCAGCAGAGTGGTGTATTAAAAAGAGGGAAATGGTGCTGCGCTAGACATTTAAAGGAATATAAACCACAGTGGTATGGAAATAGGATCTCTTTGGGGAATGCACTGGCAGAGCCAGCCACAGCTTTGACAAACACCACTACCCTATCTGGTTAATATTAATAAAGGATATACATAGTAAAAGTAAAACAATGAAGACAACATACACATTAACATGGGAATTATATTTCTCTCTCTCTTGCTCTCTCTTTTTTTTATTAAGGTAAAGAGAGGGATGGAACCAGCGGTAATTTACACCCTAATTAGCGAACAGTTGCCTCTTTATGTTTGTTATTTCTTTTTTTCTTGCTTGCTTTTTGGAGAGGAGTGTTGTCACTGGTGAAGTGATTAATCAATTATTTGGTAGCTAAGATCAGTCTCCAGTGGCACTGGCCAGGGAATGAAGGTGGTAGTTGGGGGGAGAGAGGAATACAGTGGGCTCTTTGTAGATCTTATACATGCACAACATATTAATTGGGGTCTTTCTAAAGCTCCCTCAATGGACTATTTCATTCCTGGTAAAACAGCAGCTGGTTAGCCACTGTTGGCGACTCTTCAAATATCACTTCTACTGGGGGCTTTTCTGTAGCTGTTTGTTGTTGTGTTTTATTTTTCCTCTGGATGGAGAGGGTATGTGTGCAATGCTACCCTACTGCCCCCAGATTTTGAATGGTGCAGACAGACCATTTGGATTTCAAATCTATTCCTTGTGCAGAATGCACACCTTCATTTGGAAATGCAATGCTGTTTTATATTGGAATTCTCCCCCTTCCCCTTCCCCCACATTTCTTCTCCTCCAAAGCTTTGTCTCGGCTATGAATATTCAGATGAGCCATGATGTGATTACACTGTACAATTACTCGTGTACATGGTGGTGGCGAAGGAAGCTGAGGAAAGAGAGCCGACATGCTCAGAGCTCATTCGGGGCTTGTTTTCTGTATTTTTCCCCATCTCTGTGGCGCTGCGGCACATGCAGATGTCGCTGTTGTTCTTTATAAAGCCCTAATGATATGCGAAAGCATAACGACCTCATTTGTGCGCAAAGCATCAGCGAAATATTAAAGGGGGGGGGAGAAAATCCTGACTGAAGGAATGTCCACATAAATTATTTTTATTTAAACGAGTGGGAAGGAGGAGGTGGCAAGTCAGAAGAAGTCACGTGGAATACATGCATAATGTTAATATGCAGAAAGGTTATCACCAAGGAGAAGAGGCTCCTCAGCACAGCGCTTGGGACAAACAGGCTCATTAGGGAATGGCACAACCCACTGCATGATTTACTGATTTACCTTTACCCTTATTTAAGCCGCAGCACCAGGCACCACATGCCGCCTGGAGCCTCTTTTAGGACTGGAAGCTGGTTGCCCAGAGAATTCCCGGTTTTCATCCAGAAGGTTTGGCAGGAGGGCAGGGAGAAGAGGAACCAGAGGGAGGGGCTGCTTCATATCACAGCTCTGTAGCAATGGAGCAATCCAATGAAACAGCCTCAAGGAGGGAGTGAAAACAAGCGGTGTGCAGCTGGGGCAGGACTCCACCCAGGTTGGCTGCTGCTAAGACCAGCCTCAACTATGTTCTTCAAGGTCAGGAGCCCTGGGGCAACAGCTGATAGGTCTCTGCCCTACTGGCTTTGTCTCACTACCACTGAAAACCAAAGGCAGGTCAAGTGCAGCTCCTTCCGGCTCAGGCAGCTGTGGAACAGGGGTGTTCACTGCTGCCACTATCACAGGTGCTGCTGAAGAGCAGATAGAACCGTCATTCCCAGCACAGGCCAGATCCTCCTGCCAGTTAAGCCCATGACTTCAGGGCATCTGTTCCTGTAACAATTCCAGTTATTGCTCAATATTACAAAGTGCAAAAAATAAAGGTATATATAGGATAGGGATTACTGGATATTTTGCAAGCATGTTCAGCTAGGAATATTCCTCTGGATCAGTTGGGTTGACCTATAGATGAGAACAAGGGGTTAATAAGAAGTATTGGGGGCATAAACAACCAATGGCAAACAGAAATGTGGTCACTTCAGCTGTGGTCGACTGTGCTTAATAGCTGCTTCAGAAAAACCCATGTCTAGCCACACACAGAGTGCAAACAGCTCCAGCCAAGACAACATCCTTAGCAGCACTCTGGCCATTGGCACAGCTCAAGCTGCAGACAGAGCTCATCTCCAGAGAGAGGGGGGCTATTGGTCTCTTCCCTGCCTACAAAATAAGCAGGTGGTACTGTGAGAGAAGAGCAGTTCAGGTGGTCTCTACCATGAAAAGAATTCCTCTCTCATCCCACACCGCAGACACAGATGAGGAGAGACCTAGTCTGTTGCTCAGGAAACTCTAAGGGCCAGATGTTCAACTGGTATATGCCAGCATAGTTTCATTGGCCGCAGTGCAGTTATCCAGATTCATACCAGCAGAGGATCGGGCATAATTGTATGTTTGAAAGAGGTTCCATAGTGCTCTACTGAAGTGTTCTTAAGGCCACAGTAACCAGGGTACAAGGTCAAGCCAGGTCTCCTCCAAGCAGAGAGCGGGTGCTGAGGTGACCCAGGCAGAAGAAAAGCAAGATGGACAGGCGAGTGCTCTCTTCTCCTATAACTATTCCAAGGGGGACACTGGGGGATGGACTGGTGCTGTGGCAAAGAGGAGAACTCCCAGCTGAAGCTGCTTGTATGTACTCAGGCTCATGGACTCATCTCTCTATTGCTGCCACTTTCATCATGCATGAGAAATAGATGTATCAGACACACACACACACACACACACACAACCCTTCCTAGAAGCTGAAAAGGGTGAAGAGCAGAACCAGCTCTATGATGCAGGTCTAATTTACCTGGTCTCTGCTCAGGTACTATGGTGATGGCAATGCGGTCTGGAGAACTGAGTAGAAAGGGATTGAGGTCAGATCATCCTAACTTCTGATCCTGGCTCAGTCTCACTCTCTGGCCTAGCACAAGTCACTTCACCTCTCTATGCCTCAGCTTTCCTTCTGTAAAATGGGAAGGATATTTACCAACCTACCATCCAGGAGTGCTGTGAGGATTAGCTAACAGCTGTATATATGAAGGTCCGCACTATATAAGTACTAAATAAGATAATTTCTGGTGGGCTCTATAGACATGCCTAGGATAGATTAGAGAATGTGGTGAGCACAGGAGCCCTGCCACACCTCAGTGCAGGCTGTCACTGTCCATTTCTGAGGCAGAATGGATCACAAGAGTACCAGCCTCTAGGCAAGGATCACCAAACCAAAAATAACTTTCCTGAATCCAGGTGAAAGCACGCGAGTACATCCTGCACACAAGACATGCCAGAGCACAAGCCCCCTGTGAAACACCCACTGGGGCCAGGAAAATATGGAATAATATAAATAAAGCAAATATATAAAAACAAATGAAGAGAGAGATGACTAACAGGATGTGTGCATGCCAGCATCTGGTCACTGTGCTCAGGTGACCCGACCTCTGTCTGGCTTTTTCTTCTTTAGACTGTAAATTCTTTGAGACTCGAACCATATGTTTGCCTGTGTTGATGCAGAGATCAGCCGAATGGGTCCTTGATCCTGACTGGGGTCTATGAGCACAACCACTAAACTGTATACATACCAATGATGGGTTAAAGAGAGCAGGTACCTGAAAACAAATATGCTTCTTGAGTGTCAAATTCTCCTTCACCTGGAGAATCTGATACCCAAAAGCAGGGAGGTTGTGTCACTGAAAGGCAGGAGGTGGCATGCCAGCTGAGCCTGGCAGGGAAAAGGCTGTGTTGTGATGTGATGGATGGGAACTCATCTGACAAATCAGTGAGGAAGGTCTTGATAGGTTGCTGGGATCTAAATGGGATCACGCTGGGTCACTATTAAATGAGTCACAGCAGGAGAATCTCAGAAGTCATGTTAAGGGAATCTTAGAGGGGAGGGGATTTGCCATCTCAACAGGGTGAAGGGTCATCATCGTATCATGGTGAAATGTGCTGTATTGAGTTGGAGGTGTCACGTCACATCAGGGACATACCTTTTTCAGATGAAGGGATCACATAATGTGAAGGAGAAATGGCTGATACTAGGGGCTGGGACTACCATTTCAGGGTAAAGGGGTCACATCAGACAGGGCAAGTTTAAACTGGTCCGAAGAACAGCTGCATCCCCTCAGTTCTCCAACCTGGGGTGCCTT